CACTGACTGTTCTTGAAGAAGACCCAGGTTTGAATCCCAGCACCCACATGGCAGCTAACAACTGTCCAGAACTCCAGTTCCAGGGGATCCGATGGCCTCTTTTGTCCTCCGTGGGCATTGCATGACACAGGTGTACTTACCTACATGCAGGCATAACACTCATACACATAAAATAAAAATAATAAATAATAGACATACAGAGGCATGGAGGATCCGAGTGCAAACGATTATGACTAGTAATAATCAGATACATACAGATTAGAGACGTACGTGCCAACATCTCAGTGTTAGTAGCAAAAACAATGAGTGTTTCTGTAACAAACACTATATTTTAGAATGAAATGGAGATCTTTTTTGAGGGTTAAAAACTCATTCACTTTTATGTCTTACAGGGCTTATACTGAGTTCAATATTGTATAACTGTATTGATTCAACAGCAAACCTAGAAATTTTATAGCCACTTTTGAAGGAGCTGTGTCTTTTTCTCTCGAAACTGTTATTGGGCATGTTAAAGCTGTAATGATATGTTTCTTCTAAAAAATATAATATTAAAAAAATGTAGGAAACAGCAAAAAAAGGAATAATATGTTATACATGGTTAGATAAGTAAAATATAGTTCCTCCATAAGCTTCTCTAGCAACTTCTTATGTTTTATGATTCTGTACAGATATTATTAGGTTAACTATAATGTTGATTGACTAGTAAAGAACTTTCAATAAATTTTTTCATGCCCCCCCCAAAATTATGCCGGGTGTGGTGGCGCATGCCTTTAATCCCAGCACTCGGGAGGCAGAGGCAGGCGGATCTCTGTGAGTTCAAGGCCAGCCTGGTCTACATAGTGAGTTCCAGGACAGCTGGGGCTACAGGGAGACCCTGTCTCAAAAAGACCAAAAAAAATTTAAAAAAAGAAAGAAATATTTATACAGTAATCCAGAAATAACTATTTTAACCATCTCAGTGTATACAAGATTCTTATTTCTGAAATAATAAAAGCTCTGGCAAGATGGTGAAAAGAAAACAATAATAAAAAGGTACAGTGATAAGTTTTGTGTTTTATATATGTATTATACAACAATACAATTTTTTTTAATTTTTAAAAAAGTTTTTAAAAATAGGGAAAAAGGTAGATATAGTGGCTGAGGCAAGAGGGTTGTCATGAGTTCGAGGCCTGCCTGGGCCGATAGTAAGCTCCAGTCCAGTTTGGGTTACAGTATGAAACCTTGTCTCAGAAAACAAAACAAAAGTTTAAAAAAGATAAGAAGAAAGGAAAAGGGGAATGGAGGGGAGAAGAGAAAAGGAGAACAGTCTGAATTGAATTCCTGCCCCCAGCACTTACTACTTAGGTGCTGAGACTTTGTTTCCACCTGCCGAAGCTGTCCACAGAAGCACCACACGGTATGGTGCCAGTTGGCTAAGAAGTTTCATACTTGGTTAAAGTAAATTATTAGCTCTGCGACGTCCCACGGTGGGCCTGATAAAGCAACACATAGTTATGGTGAGCAGTACTAGAGAGCCAGAGAGATGTGGTTGGTTTTTCCGTGAATTTATTCATGGGCAACAGAATCCTAGGAGGAAGTCAAAGCAGGAACCTGGAGGCAGGAGCTGAAGCACAGACCATGGAGGAACGCTGCTTACTGGTTTGTTCTTCTGACCTGGTCTCAGCCTGCTTATATAACACAGGACCGCCTACCCATGGATGACACCACCCACAGTGGGCCGAGCTCTCCCACCTCACTCAACAACCAAGAGCATGTCTCACAGACATGGCCACAGGCCAGTCCAATAGAGGAAATTCCCCAAATGAGGTTACCTCTTCCCAAGTGTGTCAAATTGACAACTGAAACTTTCCAGAAAAAGCTCCCTTCTTTGTAACTAAAAGGCCTGAATTAATAGTGTACCATGCAGAACACACACACACACACACACACACACACACACACACACACCCCGAGCAATTGAGGCCTTGTATCCTGCCTCAATCAGGATTCATTTGGGGATGGGGCAAGACAAAAACCTCAGTGGACTCCACTATGAGACACTGGGTGCCTGGATGGTGGGAGGAGATGACACTGGGTTGACCTACAGTCCCCGAACCTTCAAAACCTTCAAAACTACAGTGTAAGCAGGGCATGGTGGCACATGCCTTTAGTCCCAGCACTGGAGAGGCAGAGGCAGGCAGATCTCTGTGAGATCAAGGCCAGCCTGGTGTACATAGTGAGTTCAGGTCAGCTGGGATTACAGGGAGACCCTGTCTCAAAAAGACTGAAAAAAAAAAAGAACACACTACAGTGTAATAGTGGCTTCTCCACTACTTATTCCGCTGGCTTACTCCAATAATCCCAAGGGGCTGGAGAGATGGCTCAACAGTTAAGATCATTGACTGTTCTTAAAGAAGACCCAGGTTCGAATCCCAGGACCCACATGGTGGCTAACAACTGTCACTAACTCCAGTTCCAGGGGAACAGACACCCTCTTCTGTTCTCCCCAGGCATTGTATGACATAGGTACATTTACATGCATGCAGACAATACATACATACACACAAAATAAAAATAAAAAAGAATCCCAAACCCCAAAAGGAGGCTCTTAGAAAACACTCCCAAATCATCTGAGGCCCTTCAGGGACCAAATAATTTTATTAGAGGCTCCAGGGTGTAAGCAGGCTGCTTTCATGCCTTCTCTAATATAGCCTAAGACCTCTGGGCCTGTGGCCTACTTTTTAAAGCCACATTGTCTGAGAAAACATCTCAAATGCTTCATAAAACCAAATTTCTGTTGGGCTAAGGGATTCCGTGGAGCCCCATTTGGATTCCCAGGCTCCTCCCGTCCCTGGTAGCTGTCTGTCCTAGGAGGAGTTACCCCAGCAGACGAATCCCCTGGGTCGGCTGGTCCCTCTTCAAAGTGCTGTGGACTCTGATGCTATCCTCCCTTGAATGCGGGGCAGCCACTTGGGGGAAGCAGGATTTCTTAGGGTAAGACAGGGGGCTGAGTGCGGGGACTGTGGAGGCCGGGGCACCCTGTTCAGGATGGTCATGCTCAGTCTGGCTGCTGCAGGGTGGACACTCCCTTTGAAGCCAGAGGTAGGTGTGGAACAGGGGAGGGCTGCTGCCAGGCCCTTTTGCTCTCTGCAGGCTCCATGCTCCCACTTCTCCAGTACATGGGCTGCTGACATTTGAGTCTGGAGGGCTCGGAGGGCTCCCAGGGTGTGTATTCCTTTTTCCCGTAGTTGTGGCCTGCTGTAGAGGACGAGGCTCTCACTCTGCTGGAGGCCCTCTCTGCCATCTGGGAGACCCCAGGCCTGATGATTTTTCTGCCCCTGCTGTTCTCCCTGGAAAGCTCTGGAACCCTTCCTGGGCCACACCAGCTCCTAGGCTCTGCTGCTGGCTTGGGATTCCTGGAAACCTGGATCTTGACCTCGGGTGCTTCTTCCTGGATCTGTGGTTCCTTTGCTCCCTCTGGTGGCCTGATTCTCCTGGGCTTCTTGGGTGGAATGGAACTGCCCAGTGGCTCTGACTTGAGTGTCTACACTTCTCTTGAGCCCTGGTCTGAGTAGGAAGTTTTGAGCTTTTTCTTTCAAGAGCTGGAAAGCTTTGGGACCTCTCTGGAGACTTAAGGGAGCCCTGGGTCTCACGATGTCTGTCTTGCTGCCTTTGAAGGTCCGTAAGTCTAACCCCAGCCATAGGTGGTGAGCAGGATTCCAAAAAGTGGAAGAGTAAGACTCCAGGGTTCGTCGAGGGAGGCCCCACTTCAGGTGTGCAATCCTCCTCTTCATGAGGGATTCCAGGAGTAGTCGTTTGCTTTTCTTGAGGGTTGGCCATGAGGGCAGGATGATGAGCACGGTGGGCACACCGGACAGAACTGTGGCCGCTTGGGGAACCTGGCCACATAGGAGAGAGGGGAAGACAGAAAGCACCTGAGACTTTGGGTACCAGTGCTGCTCTATCCGGCTGGAAGCCTTTCCTGGATCCACCTCTTTGTCCCTTTGTCGTCTTCGGGATCCAGGCTGGATCTGCTGGGAGGTCTCACTGACCTTAGCTCTGTGCTTCCTGGCAGGGGCTGTGCTCTGGTTGGTCAGATGCTCTTCCACCTGTGGGAAGACTTCACTACAGTTAGGGTGGGGCTTTGGCTTGGGACAGGGAGCAGAGTTGAGGCAGTTTACAGTCACTGGCTGCTTGTGTCTAGGGGCCCCAGAGTCAGTGAGGGCAGGGAGTTGAGCTGGGCTACACTTCCTACCTGTGGGCCCCACACTCCCAGAAGAGTCACCTTGGAGACTGGTCCTCACAGCATCCTTTCCTCTGACCTGACCCTTGTCTCCTCTCCTTGGTGCTGGAGACTGTCCAGCATCCTCTGCTCTGTTTTCTCTGGTTCCCTGCAGCCTGGATTTCTGCAGCACCTTTATCTCGATCCCTGTTCTGGATCCTTTGCCCTTGTGTCTGGACCTCTCCGTCAGTTTCACACACTGACTGTCCCTGGTCATCTCCCACAGAGGCTTGGGTCTCTGGGCCAATGCCTTGGCCTCTTACCAGTTTCTGCTTCCTTCTCCTGAGTCTCTGCATCCTTCAGACATCCTCACATCCAGTCTCCCAGTTTCTGTTCTTTGATACCTGGTTTTCTGAAATTCTTTCCTCCAGTCTGCTTCCAGCTTCTCCACCTTGCAGAATGGCTCCCTCCGGCTTCACCCTTGGACCCTCCTTGGTTCTCTCTCTTGGGTCTCAGTGTCTCTACAGCATCATCTCCAAGTTCTCTCTGGCGTTTCTTCTCTAGGGTCTGAATGTCTGTTCCCTCCTCATTTCCCACATGCTTCAACTTCTTCCACTCTGATAAATGGGAGGTCATACCCATACCACTTCCTAACCAGCTCTGGCTTTCTTCTGTAGTTGCCTCGGTTTCTGTACCTCCCTCCTCTTCAGCCCGCCTCTGGATTAACATCCCTCATGTTTGAACTCCTGTACCATCCTCGCCCTCAGCCTGCTCTACTTTCTTTGACCCTGCTGCATGGGTTTCATCATCAACATTGCTTGTTAATTCTTTCCCTTCCTCTGCCTCAGACGTCTGGGTATTATTTGTACTATTGTTACCACTAATGTGTTCTTGATTCTTCCACTTCGGTATGTTACTCTTTTTATGAAATTCATTTCCTAACTGACCCTGATTTTCCTCTCCAAGTTCCTGGGTCTGTGCATCATCCTTGCCTTTAACCTTGCTCGTTTCTCTCCCCTAGTGCCTGACTGTCCTTTCCATTCTCCTTTCCAGTCTCTTCCTTGATCTTCCTCCTTACTGAGCAAGTCTCCACATCAGTTTTTCCTCTTAACTGTCCCTGATTCTCATCCTCAGGTGTCAGGCTATGGGCACCATATTTATCTCCATCTTTTCTTTGGTCGCTCTCCACTGACTGAATTTCTGCAGTGTGTTCACCTCCAACCTGGTTCTGATTTCTCCAGCGCGGTATCTCAAATTCTCTGTCAGTCTCACTCCCAGCTAGTCTCTGGTTTCCCCACCATGGTGCCTGGATCACCACCCAGTCCTCTTCTCTTATCTCCCTGAGTTTCTTCATCCCCACTTGAACTTTATGGTTTGACAGACTCTGCTCCTTGCTCTTACATGCTTGGGTCTTCCTGGCTTTCTCACTTCCATTCTGTCTTTGCCTCTCCCCCACTGGATTCTGGATCTCATTCTCACGTCTAATGCATCCCCGTTTCTTGCACTCCAAGGCCTGGGTCTCCACATCATCCTGTTGTTTGACTTCTCTCAGGCTATCCTTCCTGGATGTCTGGATTTGAAACTCATCCTCACCTCCAATCTGATTTTTATTGCTTCCCTCCTCTGCCTCAATTTCTGCACCAGTATTGCCTCCAGTCTGGTCTTGTGTCCCCCACTTTAGCATTTGGGGCACCTCACCGTTCTTATCTCCAGTCCAGCCTTGTGTCCCCAATTCTTGGTCCTGGACCTCTCCCTCTTCCTCCCCTCTGGCCTCTTTCTCTTTTTTCTTTGCAAATGCCTGTGTCTCCACAGCATCGTCCTGGTTCCCCTACTCTCGTGTCTGAGTCGCTTTATCAGTTTTGCATCTGAAGTGTTCTTGCTTCTCTCCCATGTGAGCCTCGGTACAAAGATTCTCATCTCCAGGCTCCCTCTGGTCTCTCATCCCTAGTTCCTCAGTTTTGACTCCCTTTTTAACTCTCATCTGGTCCTGGTTCTTCCATGCTGGCATGGGGATATCTTCATCAGTTTCCGTTATTAACAGCATCTGGGGGTTGCATCCCAGAGTCATAGCCTCTGCACCATCCTCCATTGTAAAGCCTCTTGGGAGCTGGCCTCTAGATGCTTGTATTTCCCAAGCATCTACCCTTTTGCTCTCTCTTTGGTCTGTATATTGTAAGGCCTGAGAACCTTTACTGTCTTCTCTGTCTTCTACCTGGGTTTCACCCCATGGCGCTGAGGGATCCCAGGGCTTCCCAGTGGGCATTTCCCATTGTTGGATAGGAGGGTCAGATGGGAATACTCTGAAACGGAGCTCCAGCCTCTGAGCTGAAGGGAAGCTTGGAGGAGAGATAGCTAAGACTGTGGAGATGGGGTGACTCATCTTACCAACAGGCTCAACTGGCACCAGCTTCTCCTGGGAGGGAGCCAGCAGCTGCTCCATTCTTTGGCATGTGTGCAGGAAAGGGTGAGTCTGGCTATCCTTAAGACACCAGGGTACCTGCCATGCTTCCCAAGAATGGTTCTGAGGGAGAAGACAGGTGCTTGAAAAGGGACAAAAGGTAGGCTCACAGTGGGTGTGGACAACCCAGAGCAGGTCTTGACAGTAGGCCCTGGGTGGAGACAGTAGGTACTGGGTGGTCCACGTTTGCCCGAGGGTCCTCCGGTATTTCCATCTCTGCTTCTGTGCCCGTGGTTGGGCATGAGCATCCAGGCCCTTGGTTTTTTCATGACTAAAAAAGAAGTCAGGGATCATCCCAAGGAAAGTTTCACGTCTGATGGAAGACAATATCCACCTCTGCAGTGGCACCTGCAAAGTAAGAACCAAGAAACAAAGTCCTTGCACACAGATTAGCTCATATGCCCCCGACAGATCTGAACAAACATCTCAGTATCCAGGTCAAGATGCTTGTGCTCAGAAAAGGAGGGGGAATCACTTCACCTAAACAAACAGCACTTATTTTCTCTAGAAATGTTGTACTCTAAGCCAGTACACTATTCTGTGCGCTGGGTACCAATGTAACTAAGACAAAGTTCCTGCTGAGAGCTATATCCTAGATACAGGAGACAATAACCAAATATATGACATGATGTGGGCCAGGAATGTAGCTCAGTTGGTAGAGTGCCTGCCTAGCATGTATTAGACCTCCACCCTATTGCTCTAATCTCCGCATTCTGGGGGTGAACACAGGAGGATCAGAAGTTCAAGGTAATCCTTGGTGACATAGCAAGTTAGAGGACAGCCTGGGCAGTATAAGACCCTCAAAACAAACCCAAAACTGTAATGTTAGGTATCAAAACAACACATGAATGGAAAGAAATGAGAAGATAGGACTGGGGTTAACACCATTAGACAGAGTGGTCAGGGAGGGCCTCTCAGAGGAGGTAAATGATATTTGACTGTAAAACTGAGTGAAGGGAGGGCAAGCCAAGGGCCATCTGAGAAAACAGAAAATGGTACTGGAGACAGAGGAGACATTAAGTCCAAAGGCCCTAGGAACAGAACAAGGTCATGTGCACAGGAGCCTCGAAGAGGCCCAGGTGAGAGCTGGAGGTGTTGCACACTGGTATAACAGTCTGGTGAGGCCCTGAGTTCCACCTCCGGCATTGGAAAAAAGGGAGGAAGGTGCCGGGCGTGGTGGCACACACCTGTAGTCCCAGCAGAGGCAGGCGGTTCTCTGTGAGTTCGAGGCCAGCCTGGTCTACATAGTGAGTTCCAGGCCAGCTGGGGCTACAGGGAGATCTTGTCTCAAAAAGATTTTTCTAAAAAGGGGGGGGGGGGGGGGGGGGGTTGGGGGGGGGGGGGGGGGAAGGGAAGAAGGGGGGGGGGGGGGAAAGGAACAAGGGGAGGG